TTGTGGACGAGTTTGGTTTTCTAAGGCAATCTAAATGTACTTTTCATATCCATACGAATTTGGAATTTGTAGATTTTGTATGACCTCTTTTAAATTCATTAGGTATCTTTTGTGAAGACAACCAATTGAAAACCACGAAACCCATTGAATTCATGAAAATGTCCATAGTTTTCATTCTTACTAATGATGTCAAAAATGGTTTGATTATATTTTAAATCGGCTATTTCCGTATTTCATATGTATTTGGATTTTGCCGTTACAGCAATGGCATGTGCTGTTCTTTAGATTTTCATTTCACATCCTGAAGCGGGCAACAAACCTATGAAATAATGATACTGAAAGGAACTGGAAAAAATTCAAATTCAGTACTCCAAAACTATCTTAGTACTATTATTGTCACTAATGCATATCATCAACTGATTGGGAATTAGAGGTTTAAGTTTATATTTATGTGTACATGCGACCTTTAGTTTGAAGCAATCCTCTTGTGGAGGATGAGAGCTCTCAGTGAGAGCTTATAACATGCATTTAAACGTCCCCCTTAATGAGTACGAGTTGCAAGATCTGACGTACCATGTTTATGCCAAGCAAAGTCAGGTATGTATTTATTTCATGGGATCTCATAATATCATCGCTAAGAAATATCTGCTACTACTTTAACCACGTTTGTTGCATTGCTGCATCAAATCTGAAAACAAAAGCAAGTGGGACACGTAGATACGTAACTGCAATTCTGTCTATATGAAAATGAATTTAATCCCCCAAATCCTACCGTGTCTCAAGTCGGATGCGTGTATGATCACAACCCTGGATTATCCAAGACGGTGCCCAAATGTGCAAACCAGAAGTGCCCGCTCCATTCACCACAAACGACAAGAGCCCTCTCCTCTGGTCTCCCGTAGAGCTGCAGTACAGAGGGTGACACCCCTTCGCCCTCCTTAAGGGCCACGGAAAATACCAAGCGCCGTGGTTAGGCCTGCTCGCTCACACCACCGACCAGCACATACTCGGGGGTCTTCACCTCGACTGGAAATGTAATAATCTTGCACAAAACCCAAAATGGAGCACGTACTACGTACGGATTCTTGTTACCGTCTTAGAGAAAGGGCAGTTTTTTTTTCCCCAACAGCTCTTTCAAAATATTAAGACGGTAAATTCAATTTGTTTGATGTGAAAGTACATTGCTAAGACAGGGAACGCAATGCCAACGTGTAGCTACTGTTAAGACTTAAAAATACCTGCATGTTTTCTTTGCACTACATTGAAACTTAACTCTATCTTCCTTCGTCTTGGTGGCCAACATCCACAGGGTAGGTGGCCCAGTGAAACAGTGCAGCTCTCCCGCGCATCACCAGACAAAGGATTCCAGCATTGCATCCCTCCCCATGGCAGAGCAACTGTGGGTACTTCACATGCATTTTCGAGAGTGTTCTTATTTACTTTATTACTCCTGAAGGCTATTAATTTCACAGTGAAGCTGCAAACCGCGTCTCTGTCATCGGATCTCCCAGATACCGCTTAAGCCTCCAGTATTGGCAAACATTTTCTAACAATGAAGATTATTCAGATTAAGGGATCTTCCCTTTTTAGCTTTTTTGAACGTACAGCAGAGTTGACTTAGCAGGGCTCCTTTATTACCGTCAGACAAAAAGTTAACTGGGTAGAGTGAAAACCTGAGTGCTCTTCTCTGTCCTATTTTTTTTTTTTTGAAAGAAAGACTGCTCACGACTACAAACTATTCCGTTACCCTAGAAGTTGTAAATTTTAATTTTTTTTTTTTTTTTAAGGGCACAGAGGCACTTCTTTTTTCAAAGAGTACCCAAGGGCTCTGAATTCAAGATTACACTTTGCGAGTACATTTCATAATACCTAGATGTGGCAGCCAAGCCTGCTTTTCGTTGGCAATGCTCCCAAGACTGAAATTCATGACAACGCTGCAGGAGGTGTGGGGGGAGCTCGCTGCGCTGCTGGGCGATACAGACCCCTAAGGCAAAGAAACAAGTAAATGTCACTCATTCCCAAAACACGGTTGCTCTGCTGTATTCCTGTTAGGTTTTAAGGTTAATGCTTTTTTTTTTTTCCCCAAGCCCTTAAAGCATATTTAAAGATAAATGGTGGTCTTCGGAAGGTATTAATGAAACGCGCAGTGCCTAGATGAGCTCGTTCAAAAAAAAGTTGCATTATGAAACACCACCTCAGTAGCCCATCCTAGCATGATAAACCAGATTCGTTTTCTCTTTCATTCAGCAAAGCATTGCCTGCATCCATTCAAATATAACTTTTAACATCTATAGAGATCAGTTATTACTCTGCTGAGGGAAATGATTTTCATAAATCATGAATGTGAGAAATCTCACAAAAAAACACTGGATTTCGGCCTCCACCCCTAAGAATTCAAAAGCTGAAAGAACAAACTATAGATGGAAGAGTAATTCTAACAAGAAACTAAAAGGGAAACATGTAATTAACTGCCACCAATTGAGAATAATGTGGAAGACTCTGACCACAGATGAAGCTTGCTGGTGATAAGATGAAAGGAAAGCACTTTATTTGTAACACTGGGAAAACCATGGTGTTACACTCATACAGAACCATCACTGAAAATGGTTTCAGACTTGCTACGACCCGATAAGCTTTAGAAGGGGACCCAGTCAAAGACTGTGTTGACATTTGGCACCACAGGCAGAAGAAAGTTTTATGTACTACATGATAACCTTTTCAATAAGCCAAATTATTAGCACCTAATAATTGATCAGAACCCTAAATTCAGGAATCTCAACCTCATCTAAACTGTAAAAACCTGTTATCCCACTTTTTCTGGGAGAATTGCCTGGTGGCAAGCCATAGCCCACTGCGGAGTTGCAGGGAACATGGTACGTGCAATCAAATCTGATTTTGAAGGTCTCTGCTTCATGTACTGCAACAGTTTTGCCGTTAGACAGCAACCAGTTCCTGCTGCTCAAGACGGACATGCAGATCTGCAACACCGCGGTATTTATCACGGCATTTATCCCAAAGACAAGGCAGTCAGCTGGTTCCAGAGGCAAAGCAATGCTTCATTTGAACATGGATTAAAAAGACGAACACGTGGCTGAAGTAACTTGTTCTAAACGCATGTCGATACCTTACCGGCTCCCTCTTCCAAATCACGACAGCAGAGGATATTTTGGCAACACTGGAAATAGTGACAACGTAGAACCTGCTGCAGAAGTATAAGCAGGACTGACTGCCTGACACTACAGAAATCTCACAGGTCCAATAAAATTCAGAAATTCCTGTTTTTTAAGCAGTAAATCTCTACACGTCATTGGCGCGCAAAAAATAACACTGATAAATACCAGCTGAACTTCTCTGCATTGGCTCATTTTTTTATCCTAAGGAAATTCATCTTCTAAACAATATATCTGAATTTCATTCCTCCTCAGAATTACAGAACTTAAAAGGCCGCTCATGAAGATGGGTATTTCATCTCATTTTGCATGATCCAGCATCATATAAATCCATTTCATTCACATAAGATCACAAGATCTGACGCCATTCACTTAAAAATAAAACTTCCCTGTAGCGGCTTTGAGCAGTAACACTAGATGGTTTCATGGGACCTTTTATTCAAGAGTCTTAGAACATGTAAATCTCTGTGCAGCCGTTTATTTTCAGTAGTAACAGCCTGAGGCAGTTGGGGTCATTCTGAAAGCTACTGATGTCACGAGATTTCCCTCGAAGTGCAAAAAGACTCTTCAAACCTTTGAAAATCTGTTCTATAGATATTATTTGTCAAAAATCACCAAACCGCTCACGAGTCAGGAGTCCTGCTCCAACAATCAGACTAAGCTTTTTCCCTGGCAAGTTGATCGATGTTTTTCTATATGCGATGAAAGCAAAGTATATTTTAAATAACTGTTCGTACTGTTCTACGGTCAAACGTGCATTCAGTTTGTGCTACCAGGGAAGCGCTTATGTGAGCTACTGTCTCACTATGGATTTCCATTTCATCTTTAGAAGCCAATGAAAATTTTTAGCATCCACATGACGCTTATCACATCATTGTGTTTTCAGGGAATTCATTACACTAAGAGAACACTGCGGCCCTGTTGTTCTTTTCATTCTCTTCTACCTTCTCTGTTCCCCACTGAACGTACTTCAGATCCGCCGCACTGAACATGAAGCCTCGTGCCTCTACACGTGCAATGATGGGCAGATGTCTGTAACGGGGTCAGTCATATGTAACAGTTCTTTTTTAAACTTTGTCATACTGCATCCAGATAGCAGCAACTATGCCGAATTTTTGACGCTGTTCTCACTGCAACAGATGCATCACGCTCTAAGCGCCAGTCAAGGTATTCACTCTTCACAATGTGTTATTTTTGTTATTTATTTTACCTTTGCTTACTGGACTTCTTTCCGTATTGCTCAGGAAGCCCTACTGAAAATAGAAAGTATCGTCAGTCCCATTTGATTCCCTCATTCTAAAAAAAAAAAATAGAAAATCCCCAAACCAAAATGATTGCTCTTGCAGTTCATCGGTGTTATGTAGTCTTTGGGAACTGAGAAATGATACAAAATTCCTGCTCTCGCATGGAGAATGATCCAACGTCGTTTTAAGTTTTTCTCCATTTCAGGTTTCATTTCTAAAATTGCATTCTACGATCCTACTTCTGAAAGAAGAAAAATTACAAGGCTTCCGTTATCAAAACTTTCCAATAACAAGTTCAATTCCACACTGGGCTGTAACGTTAAAAACATGTACACCCATACATATATATGCATATATATATATATATATATGCACAACATATGTCTACGCACATACTCTGTATTTGCCATTGTATTAAAAAATTGTTCCTTCACAGCGCTAACGACTTTAGGTTGCAATCTCTGTAGATTTCCATGGCATTTTTCTCTTCTTTTCATTCCCGGTGAAAATGACTCTTCTCTTCGTACAGTCGCCGATTGTCTTTCCTTCCTAGCTGACTTGGCGATGTCCCTGTTCTGCTTTTCAGGATATACACGCAGCCAGGGCCAGCCACCACGTAGGGTCCATCCCCCAGAGATCTCAGCATGGCCGGCCTGGTGACGACAACCCCGTAGTCCACTTCTTCAAGAACATTGTAAGTCTCCTCTCTTCTTGGTATGCGCTAAAATGAAATATTTTCTTTAGGACCCATCAGTAACCAAATACTCCCCAGTCAGTAGCCATTATTTTGGGCCTCGGGAATTGTACTGTGCCTCATCATGCTATTTGATACAAAAATAATTTTTACCTGGAAACACAAACAATACTGAAATGCTACAAAAAAGTGGGTGAACCCTCCATTAGCATAGTCAATTTTCAGCAACCACCATTACAATTATACAGCTTCACCATTCACTGGTTTTGTCCTTGTGTCTTCAGCACTGGCTGTATTAAGGAATGTTTTCTGTTCAAAAAGAGACAAAAATCCAGTGTGTTCTAGGCAAAGCCTAAGACAGCAGAGGAGCTTCTCGGTGCAATTACTTAGATAGCACTTAATCCTGCTAAGTCACAGATAATACGGAAAAGGCTTGATGATTCCCTACATTTATTCCTGCCTTGGTTTTACAACTTTTTTCTGTTGGTTTTCAGGTCTCACCCCGTACGCCTCCCCCCATGCAAGCAAAGGTAAGCGTTTTCAGGGGCTCAAGCAATGTCCGAGATCTTTTGTGGGCTAATTTATCCCAATTCAGCTGCTAGCCTGATTCCTTCTCTTTAATGGCACTAAGTCAAAATCTGGAGTTATCATTGGGAATATTTAACGCAAGGGCCTAAGACTGAAAAGCCATAGTTCTCCTCCTCATGCACTTCACGACTTGCTGCATGACAAATTAAAGCCACTTGCGGGGGGTTTTATATTCAATTTATCTTGTGATTGCTTTATGTAATAAACTAATAATAGGTAATGCTTTCAAACAAGCCTCACCCACCAGGAACTGTCCTTACATTTACTAGGCTCAGCTGGCTTCTAAAGTACGTATCACTGAGAAACCATGGCTAGTGAAGTCAGTTCTTGTAATTATAGTAAAGAATTTTGTCCTTCTTGTTTCATGGAATGACTGTACACAGATTGTTGTTTTCAACTCCTGCCTCGTTATCGTGCCAGTATTTCATTATTTTTACTGCATTTTCATCATCTTCTGTGCATGGCGCACCCAGACGCTGTGTTCCGTAGTGATCATCATGTCATTGTTTCTATTTCTTGCATGTACAGGGAAGAGGATTATCCCTCACCAGATTTAGCTGGGTAGGTGATGAACGTGCTTTCAGTAACAGCCATTTTATTTACCAGGCCAAAGCATATCTTGCTCCGTTGCCTCAAGCTGCTGCAGCAACGTGATAATTTTGATTTGTCTCAATTTTGCTGTTTTGCTTCTCCTGTTCCACTTTCCTCCCTCCTCCCACAGCACTTTAAGAGGGTAATTTTGTTGCTTGCTCTTATCCAGCAACTTGGCAGCCTTGCGGCGATAATTTCTTTTGCTTTAGCCCGAAGGGAGCAAAATCCACTGCATGGCAAAGCTCTCTTCCCTTAAAGGCTCCTGGAAGGCTCATCTGCTGCATTTTTCTTTCCCTGGGAAGGATAAAAATGGGAGGGAGGGCTGGGATGAGATGGGCGCTTATTCCACAGTTCCAATTGCTCTTATACAGTAAAGTCTGCAAAACTAACACTCTCACTAATGCAAGTATTTTGTCCCACCTTTCCTTGCAACCCCTTTCAGTGAGAAGCGATCTGCCTAAGCAGTTATTAGAATAAGTTCTTCCCCCCGTTATCTCACAACTAATTAAATTCTACTTCTCCACCACAGGTTTGATTTTTATATGAGATGGACATGTAAATTACTTGCACTTTAAGGCAAAATATTAAAGCTTTCAAGCCATTAAGCATTTCTTTCACTATCAGAAGAACACAAATTAGTTGACGTGTTTGACATCTTAGAACTCGTGAAATTGAAACATTTTAAGTTTTGTCATGCAGTTTAACCTTCTGAGCATCCATTTTTTGATTATTAATTCCTCTTTTACAGTTTGGTGCCTCCCTCAGATTTGAGTACATTCAGATAATTTCCTAACATCTTCCTTCATCCTTGTTTATTACGTAAAAGATTATTTTATTCCAACACCTCTAAATTTCTCATTTGAGTATTACATTTCAGTGATCACAAACAAAGATTACGACGTGCGTATGATAATCTGAATGTGATAATTTGCAATATACATGAAAATCTTTCTTTGCAGGGTGGTGAAGGACACAAACCAGGATATGGAGGAAGCGGAAAATTCTACGAGCATAAATCTGCTCACAAGGGACATAAGGGATCCTATCATGAGGGCCAGGGCACTCTTTCCAAAATCTTTAAACTGGTAAAGTACAATTGAACTTACTCTAAGTACAAAAAATTGAGTCCAGGAAAAAGAGAAGCCAAACCTCTTCAGAACCTGCCATGTTTGAAAGAACCACATTTCCTTAAAGCTTCTGAAGGAACTAGATTTGCATGGATAAAACAGAAGGTTATCTCATGGCCTAATAACTACTTACATGATAGGAAACAAAGGTAAAAATACACAGTCAGTAACCATCAGGAAAGAAGGTAAGTCCACAAAGTCCCACAAAGACCCGCACCAGGATCTGTGTTGTTACTGGACTCACAAGTGACCTGGAACACAGAAGATGAACGAGGTGACACAGCTTGCGGCTGCTGCTGCTAAATATTTTAGAATAGCGAAAGTGAAAGCAGACTGATAAACAGCAGAATGGTAGGGCAGGGCAGCGTTGCACACCGATTTGGTTGAGATGCAGTAACAACTCGAACAGTCCCTGCTCGTCCCCGCCCCAGGGGGGAGACCTCCTACGGTACGTCAGTACAGCGAGCTGCCACGCCACCTAGTCAGGCAAGTTAGAAAACTCGTCTCGTGCGAAAAATAAACGTTTGGTCAGATTATCTTTAATCTGGTTCAGTTCACCATTTCAAGTCACCGCACAGCCCCACCAACACAGCGAATATATGAAAACAGAACAGGAAAAAAAGTCAGTTGCAAGGATTTTTCACATTCTATGCCAGGAAAAAGACACGTGAAAAGCACATCATACCCACTGGCAGCTACTTTAACTAAGACTGTATTTTTTTTTATCATATAGTGAAGCATGCACAAGTAACAAATCATCCAGTATACTATTTGCACATGAAGCATGCAATCAGCAGTAATTTTAACTTCAAGACAGAAGGTCCAAGGTCCCATTAGCAGAGCCGATCATCTCAGACTCTTACTACTCTTACTCTCCGACAGGAGACAAAACAGCACCATCACCTATAGCAAAAATACATTTTTATCTCTTACATGGTTTAGGGGACGTATTTTTCATTGTAGAGCTGTTTTTCAAACATATGCAGCACCAAGCAACAGCTTGCAAACTCCAAGGAGGTAGTACGAATTCTTATGTTGCCATTTAAGAAAAGGAATGAGCTCTTCAGAGGCCCAGGTAAAAAAATCAGACATTTACCTTTTAAGTCTAATTTTCACATTGCACATTTGTAGCTTTTTAGTGGAGTTCAGATACAGCAACAATACCATGGCTATATACTTGACATTATTTGTAAAATTTCTTTTGAACATCTGAAAATTTTCGATAATAATCTCTCCCAAATTTTAATATTCTCTTTTTTACATAACCATCACAACTATTTTAGCTTTGATTTATATCTATCTGATGTTATGCATATACCAACTCTACTTTTTACACAGCCTTTTCCGAGCCATGGTAACTTTTGGAACTCTTATCAGAGTTTTACTCAGGCCCATTTGATTTAGACCCATTGTTTACAGCAGGAAACATTAGCAACTATTTCTTTATACAGTTTTACAGTCTTTTACAGTAAAAAAGTTATCCATTCTTTAAGATACCTTCGAAAGAAAAAAAGCCAAGTACCTAATGGATTACACTAAGTTTTCCTTGAAATAGTTCAGTAAAACTAAGGAGGGAGCACTGAAAGATGAGAAGAATGATACAAATAAAGAAAACAAAATCCCAAAGTACACATATGCTTAATTTTTTTTTGACGTAAATAGTTCAGTCATCCACTGATTACAGTAACGATTACCACACTATCTCACATTTGTGGTCATAAGCCTATCGTTCCAAGATTTGCCTAGAAAGTTGCTAAAGCTACGGGAGAAGATACCCAGTTAGCCTAATCTTAAGTTCCAAAAATGAAACGCCAAAATTTCAGCTTGGATCATCTCTGCTATAAAACTGCTGTAAGGCTTTTCTCAATTGCGGATTTATGAATTGTCACAAGTGGTTTTTTCCTAGTTTGATGTTTTCTTATTATTTGTAAAAATAGGCCAGGTTTTAGCCCTTTCTCTTTTCTTAGTTTTTTCCTGTATTTGCACCTGAGCTTTCCATACGAGACTCATGTTGATACCATCACATTAACAATTTACCCTAATAAATATTGCAGAATAAAATTATTACAGTTCAATTCTTTCAGATGTGGGACTATTACAACTTGTATGCAAGGTTTGCAGTTTTGGATTTTTTGTTGTTTGGGGTTTTTGTCGGTTTTTGTTTTGTTTTGTTTTAAAGTATACATACAGTTCAGGGGTAGCCATAAAAATGAAAATTTCCGAGATGTCCAAGTAAATAAATTGCTTTCATTAGGAAGGCCTGAATAAGAACATGCACCTACAAATAATTCATGGGAGACTGTCTAGCCCTGTATGAGAGATTTAATGAGAGTAAATTAATCCTATGTGAAAATATATGAAAAGCAATCATCTCTTTGAAGTGAAAATTCCAATAATATTTAGCAATATACTAGAGGCCACTGCAAGCCATTTTCATTAGATAATACTTAAAATTTTGTTGTACTACAGAGTGATGTTTTTCAATTTACAGCCCCAACTATACAGTACCTTTTAATTAACTTAACTCTGTTCTTCCCTCCACAGGGAGGCTCTGGGTCCCGACCTGGATCGCGGTCTGGTTCACCAGTTGCTAGGCGCTGAAGCTCTGAGATGCCATCCAAGGATCATGTACTCTGCTTCATAATATAACTGCCTTAATATTAATAACAACTGCAACAATTACCTAGATAGATGCAATCCATTACTTAATGCCAATTAGGTTCTGCATGCAGTAGATGATACAAACTTCTATTGGCAATCCCTGACCAACAGTTGAATGAAAGGAACGCAAAAAATAGCTTTACTAGGTGTTTTCCTTATTTTATGTGAAGTAACAAGATCTCTGACTTTACTCATTCTTCTTCAGGATGCCCTAACTGTATGCTGGACTTCATTATTTCTCCCAAGCACCTAATTTGAGCTCGTCTTCTGGTTTCGTTTTAGTGAACATCAGAATTACAAATAAAGAGCTAATGTCTTGGATACTGAGCACTGCTGTTAATGAATTTCTGAGACACTGCTGATAAAAAAAAAAAATCCACCATGTGCAGAAGTTGTAAGGACTGTTTATCCAAATACTTTCTTTGATTTGGTTTTGTTTGGTTTTAATCTTCCTTCTCTCACTCACAGAATAATTTATTTTCATAACAGGATTAGGCAGTCATGGAAAGGTTTACCAAACATTGGGAGTTCAAGGCATGTGAAGTGTGGGAGGGGGCAGATGTTGTAGAATCAATACGATGCGGAGCAACAGTAATAAGGAGATTCTTTCCGTACCATGAATTGCTTATCGCATCCAAACCATTAGAATTAAGAGCAGATGAGGGAGAGAAAGAGGATTTCAAATTTGAGTTAGACTAATGTTAAGAAACAAGGGATATTCCCAGAGAAGAAACACCTAAGATCGCACAAGTGACCACTGGACGTCACTGGTGCTCCACAAACTCTGCTGCAACAGCATTAACTTTGCAGTACAATAAGTAAGTAAATAAATATATAAACAAATAAGTCTAATTTCTGAAAGAGAGCCCTTCAGTACTGGTATCTCAGATAGTCCTGCACATCTCGCGTTAGAATTTCAAATCTTGCTCTTGGTATTGCAGCAGTGTTATCTTTTGTCAGCTCATCTTTTGCCTGAGTAACATCTGGATGCCTATTAAAGACAGCGCACCAAAGCAAACTCATAGTAAACTGCTGTGAACATTTAACTGTTGTACTGTAGTTGCCTTATAGAAATGAATTATAGCTGAGTTAGATTTAGATATTAATTGTTCACAAATTACTAAAACCAATGTGTGGCAATGGTATTTCCAACCACACTTAGGGAAATAAAAGGCTCTTCTGAATTGCACTGTTTTATTACTTAAACTTACCATTTCTTCAAGGTGTCATCTAAGTGTCTGATTAATTTTTTTTTTTTTTTTTAGTTTTAGCCTCCGCATTGTAGACTACAATTAATGCTTCCCAGGTTGAAACTGCATTCCTAATAAATGCCCAGTAAATGTTACCTATAAATATGTTTGTTAATTGCATTTCACATCTGAATCTATTGTAGGTTTAAATCAGTGTCCATTAATAAGAAGCAGTGAAAGATGAGAGGATAGAAAATACATAGAGACTAAAGAATACAAACCCACCAAATTATTAAGCGTACACACACGTATTACATCTTCTATTACCTACACTGGTTGCTATGTGTATTTTTCTATTGTAGCTTCATTCAGATGTATACTCTGCAACGTAATAGTTGATTTAATTTGAATACGTATTGTTCTTATAGGAACACAGCTTTTAAAAATATTCATTATTGAAATAAAGTAATCAACTTGAAATGAAACTTGGACCAGTTTTGTCTTTTACAACGGAGAAGATCATATATGTAGAGTTCTGTGGTTTTCTTCACAGTTTATGAATAATGTTCAGACACGAGAAAATGACACTATGGGAGCCGTGACCCAGCTGCCTGCACTCAGGCTTCCAGTGACAGTGCTGGTGACTTAGCGTGGCCCACAAGGCTGACAATAGGACACAGGATTTATGGGAGGCCAGTGTCTTTGTGGAGTGGCAACTAAAGGCCAGGGGGATATTGCAAGGCATAAAATGCCTACGTACAGGCAATGAAATGCCGCCCTTCATAAACAAATATAGCACAAAATATCTTTCAACAGGGTATGTGAAAATCAAGTTGTTTTTTAAAGCAGCCTTCAAAAATGAGAAAGAATATTTAAGGTTAAAAAAAAATTGGGAAATACACCTTTCAAAATACTGCACTGTAGAACTACAGAACTTATCCAAAGCTTCTTGCTTGCCTCCATCACTCTGCTTTCCCCTCAGTCATCTTTTCCGAGGCTGGAAGTGGCTTTTTTGGATTTACTTCCTATAGAAGAAAAGGTATGGTACTTTAAAGCATTATTTTACCAACGCAAGTGTCTCTAGAGAGATTTAAACTTAGACTGAAATTTATTCTTTTACTCACTCACTAGTAGTTTTGATGAAAACCAACAGTTCAAATGGCTATTTGATTTGTAAGCAAAGGCTTTTTCCTGAAACAAGAATGCACAACCAGTACTGCCATTTCTTGTACTGAAGGAATAGACAGAAACTAAAGAAATACTTGAGCAGACGCAAGCCAAAAAGCCTGAGGCTAGTGTAAGCCTACTACTGCATCAAACCAGAAAGAACAGAGGCATTCCTGAGCCAAAAAGCCTGAGGCTAGTGTAAGCCTACTACTGCATCAAACCAGAAAGAACACAGGAATTCCTGAGCACTATTCACTTACCCGCTATACAATGTGACTCTTCAAACAGGCCTTAGAATAAGAGTGTGTTCTGCTTCCTAAAAAAATTGCATCTACTTCAACATTGCTTTTGAAAATATCAGCGTATTGGTTACAGTGTATGTATTCATACTGAACGTCAACAGATACACTGCTTTAAAAACCTCCAACTCAATCTTACCAAGGAACCGGGCCTATGAAAACCTCTATGTCAGGATACTCAAAAGTGAATTCTTAAAGTTCACAGGGGGAGGAGGATGCAGGGAAGCAAATCGAATACCATGGTACAAAAAAGTTTTTTAAAAGTCTATTTACTGTACCTGACAGGACTCCAAGCACTGGAGGAGTAGCAAACTCAATTCCTCAATTCAGGAAAAATGTCAGCTGACTCCATAATTCACGCTGCTTATTTAACACTTCCAAGACTTACAACACACACTCACTGCCTCTAATCAAGACATAACACTTTGAGAAGTGACCATGTAAAAACGACCTGCTTTAAAAAAAGATCTGCTTTTAGGCACACGCTCACCAAGTATCGACCACTACCAGTTTTTATGTGCTGGCAAAGCAACCACAGCTAGAGCAGACTGAATGCTTTGAAGCATTCAGGAATCACGTTCCCATTATGAAGGATGGATTTGCATCTGGATGTGACCAACTGTAAATCATCTTCTGTCAAACTGGATTTGGCAACCTCTGGAAAGTGTCATCCCCTATGCAGCAAATCAACAAACTTTGCTGTGCGAAGTTTTCTCTGAAAGAACAGGGATAAGTTTTTATACACGATACATGCAACACAGCACATTTTACTGTATTAGAGACAAACAGGGTGCTATGCCATGCGGCCGGTATGCCTTCAGACAAATGTGAAATATAATGTTTTTCTTAAACAGCTGAAACACTAATAGGCTGTCTGGAAGGAAAGGCACTGCTGGAAGAACTTCACATACATTCTTTACATATAATATTGAGACACACACTTCTGGTAAATGGAGTTTTTAGAATTTCCTAGGATTCAGAATCAAATGCTCAAAAAATACACGAAACAGAATTTGGAAAAAAGTAATATTATTTAACATGTTTTTGAATTAAATATTCCACATAACAAAAGTGTTATTTTCATGTCACCAACTGTATTACTTATATACATATGCCAAAGAGTTAACAAAAGAATTAAGAGATGCCCTATCAAAACCAACAGTGATTTCTTGCTTCAGCAATCTGAAATAACTAGTTTGTATCATAGACAAAGTATAGACAATATTTACAGAAAAGGGCTTTTTGGATCTGAGAGCAATTATCATTCAGAAGGTAAATTAAAATCCAGCTCTGTATTATAGTACAACAAATCCACCACTGATCTAGAAGTACTTGTGGCAAACCAAAAAGATTAACTTCCTGCAACTGGGATTAGTATTTACAAAATATACTGATCAGCCACACAGAGGCTCATATAACTTTAAATATATATATATATACATACAAGCACACATATATATATCTATATATATGTAACATATAAATAAAATTCAAAAGAACAAGGTAAAAATAAGAAGAGCGCTTCTGTCTTTGGAATGTCTAAAAGACGACTGTTTTTACTCCAGTGTTTCTTTGTTATGAATATACGTAACAAGTGGCACCTTTCAAAGCATTAGTCAACTAGGTAGTTTTGCTGAAACCATGCCTTAAACCACAACAAATAAAAGTAACATATTTCCCAAATTCACAACGAAAATAATGAGGAACTTACAGATTTGAAATGATAACTGTTTACAGCACTGAGGAATACCGTATAATACACGTGACCTGGTGTGCCTCTTTCTCACTGCTAACACAAAATTGTATGTTTACTTCCCAGATATCGTATATGGCTGTGTTTTCCACAGATACTGAGATATGTACCTGCTGATCCAATACAGCAAACATAAAAGAAGAGGCTTTCATTGGAACCTCTTCTAGTTTGGATTCTCTTTAAATAATTATTGCTGAGTTTAAAACCTCAGTCTCTTAAAGTAAAAACTAACAACTAACTGTCTCTGCGGTTGGAATGGATATGAACATGCTCCCTCTCAAGAGTTTAACTCAAGAAAAGCTGTAAGTTCATGGCATTTTATTTTTTTCAACAAACTCTCAAAACGTACTAAAAAAAGCTTAAAACAGAAATACAGCATTTTCCTGTGCCTTGTAAAAAAAAAAAAACCAAACCCAAACCAAAACTATTTTATACTGCATGCATCTACTCTGTAACATTTTGTTTCCAACCTCAATTATTTCTTTAAACACGTAAAAAAGAAAGCTGACCGACAGTTTCATGGTTTTTCCACGAAGTTATTCTTCACTTCCTTTAAAAATGGGAATCATTGTATTCTGATATAAAGTTCCAGTTTATTTTTCAAATAGATATACTGGCTGTGAATTAGAAGATGAAACTGTATACAGTATTACCTGAGTTCACTGATTCACAGACAACTTAGCACAGATTAAATGATGTTTTCCCAATATTCTTCTACAAGCTTAAAAAAAAAGATTCTTTCAGGTAATTTCTGTAAATAATTAAAAAAACTATAATATATTATTCTATTGTTAATAGTTCCAACGCTTGAAGCTTTAACTGTAAAAATCCATCTTTTACTTTTCCGAAAACTTGTTTAGGGAAATTCAAGGCCCAGAAACATTTTTAGCTTTCAAATTTTAAGGTGTCATCGAAAAACATTGCCTATACTTTGCCATTCATTTGAAGATTCTTGTACCACTTCTTCTAAATTCAGAGTACGACTAATATCTTCCCCTTCTTGTTCTTGATGACTAGCAGGCTCCTGTACAGGACCTATCAAAGTACAAGAGAAACAGACAAATGAGTATGATTTGATGTACAGGGTAAGAAAAATGCAAAGATAGCACTTGGGAATAAAGGAATCATGCTGGAAAAGGTATTACACAACTCCTTCAGATTCTGTAAATTCATTAGACACTTTTTGAGAAATTAAAAAAAAAAATTGAGTATAATTGATTGCTTTCCTGTAATAGTTTTTGAACGTTCTATTTCCATACTACAGAGCTCCACATAAAAAACAAGGAACCATAAGCAGTAACCAATCTCTGTTTCAACCTTCTTTTTGGGTTGCTTGTTAAACTACTAGCTCATCAACTCTGGTCTTTGGCTATTAGTGCCTAAATTCCTCAATAACTTAAGGGAAGTGTTTTCTGCTTTCCTAGTAGAGCTACCTACCAGTGTAACCATGAGCCCGTTTCATATGCAGTTTCATATTGCTTTTCTGTGTGAATCCCATTGCACAGTAATCACATTTATAAGGCCTCTCTCCTGTGTGTTTTTTCATATGGACTTGAAGAGCGCTCTTCTGGTTAAAAGCCTTTTCACATAGTGTACACTGAAATGGCCGTTCCCCTTATAAAAGAGAAAAACGTATCTATTAATTTCTCATTTCAACATAAAAATACAGTTCAGAATTCAGTACAAATCATCAAGATGACCTAGAAATTAAGTAGACGTGATCTTTTTCCTTGAGACTTTCTGAAAACACTGCTATGGCTCCATATCATCAGCAAAAGATCCCAAATTAAATATCAGAATATTTACATAAGTCTTAAACAAGTGATATTGTTATCTTTCCTATCAAATTTAAGTAAATTATTTAATAGAGGTGTAAAAAAAAAAATCTCTTTACCACTTTGACTCTTCTGTACTCAAGGGGACCATCACCTTTTTACATCATTTAAGAATAACATAGATAAAGCAATATTCTAGAATTAACAAAGCTGATGTCTGTAAGAAACCAGAAAGTCAAATATATTAAAAAAAAAAAAAGTTCTGGTAGTTCTACATGGGACCTGTGGCCTCCTATGCCAACAGCTACTAGTGATTCCCATATCTTACCAAAGCAGGCACACTCTTCCAAATCTGCCAGAATACTACTAATTTCTAAATATAAACTCAAGAACATATTCATTACAAAAATATTTTAAAAATTTTAAAATACCTACTTTGCAAAACTAGACCTTTGCTTCAACACTCAACACCACAACCTCCGACATCAACA